ACGGGATGCCGTGGAATGTGGCTTTTTTTTTTTTTTTTTTTATTTTTTTTTTTTTTTTTATTTTTTTTTTTTTTTTTTTTTTTTTTTTTTTTTTTTTTTTTTTTGGGTCCGCGTTCGGCCCGAGCGGCCGAACGCATCCCCAAGGGTTCCCATACGTTCTGGCGTTCGGGTTCGGGCGTTCGGCCCGTCCCGAACACCGGTTACTCTGGTCACATAACCATGAAGTAAAAGAGCGCACTTTGCGAAACAAACGGCGGAAACAAAAAATTAAAAAACAAGACAAACATGAAGGGTACAATGAAACCATTTTATTTTTCTCATTCTTCTCTTAACTCCCCCTTCACCGTGCCTCTCACGTACAAGGCTCGTCACGTTGATGAAGTTGAGCGCGAGCTGCCCCCATCCCTGTGGACCATAACGGCCCACTTGTACGCTTGTGAGAAAGAGACAGAGTGAAGGGGGAGGGGATAAACACAGGGAGGAGAGAAGGAGAGCAGACAAACAAAGAACGATCAAGGGAAAGTAAGGGAAAGTACAGAGTGTGGAGTGAAGATGAAGGCACAAGAGGATAAGAAAAAGCTAAAGAATGAGTCTGTCGTTGACGACAGACTGTCGTTGACGACAGAGAGGACATACATTGTAAGGTGGAGGTGGATGAACATATGGAAGACCTAGCTGAACATTCTTAGTGCAACAATTGCCACGACCACTGGCATTGAGCATGCCCGCCATACACCCCCGACAAATGGCATGTCGATTGCAGGTCAAAATGAAGGAAGAATGGTCACCACAAAAGACCATGCATTCAGTATAGCGCCCATGGCTGCAAAATGGACAGATAGTGTCTGGACGCGAAGGGTGCCTGCAGTCAGGAACGGAGGGACAATCCTTTGCACACATGGGTGAAGAAACCATGTCATTGTAGTGATAGTGACAGAAACGATGACGGCTACAAGCGAGTGTAACAATAGTTGTGGATGTGCAAAGGAGAAGGTCGCAGAGTGTTGGTACATTGTCTTGTTGCAGTACGGGGTCAGAGGAATGGTCTTCGACATAAAAGAGATTGCGGATGGTTTGTTGTGGCAAGAAAACAACATCATTTTGTAAGAAATCAATGACATCGGTAATGACATGGACCATGGTGTCGTTGTCCCACAGCTCCCGGTGGTCAGAGGCATGTACAATAGCCATGTAATGGCCAAACCCGTGCACAATGTAGGCAAAGATGTAGGATGGAGGATTAAACCACTCATCTGCTCGAGCATTGCGTAGTTCAAGTTAACGGTTCCTCATTGCTACTTGTAGGACAGCAATGGTAAAACCTCCTTCGCTGGTATAATTACAATCCTTTGGCTGTAGTTGGGGAAGACCAACATCAAGCTGAAGGGCGATTGCAAGGAAGTCTGATGGTGTAAGAGACGGGTGGTAAAGAATATGAAGACAAACATTTGTTTTCGTCAGACCACAGAGATTGGTGAGGTTCTCAGGCTGGTTTGTTGGATGTTGGCCAACAATTTGCAGATCACCTAGATGGTGTTGCAAACCCAAATTGTGTTGGGCTGTTTGTTGGTCAGTCATTTGCATATCACCCATGTGGTCTGTGCGTGGTGGGGCACAAATTTGTGGTTCATCCGAACAATGTTAGTCCACCATTTGCAGATCCCTCACGTGGTCCACGCCTTGTGGCGTCAACCGCAATCCGGGCAAATCATGTTACAATCCCTCCATATTTACAGCTGCATCCTGAGTAGGGACTATCCCTGGAGTCGGGAGTGTACTCTGAGCAGGGACCATGTCGTACATGTGAGTCGTGAACATCTAACGCCACAGGGTATAAAACATGGTCTCGTTGCTGCCTGCAGGAGCGAATATTGTCATTTAAAACAAAGGAACCGCAACAACCTGTGGAGGAGGCACAGAGAGAATCGGGGCACGATGTCGCGGATGTCGTCGGCGAGACACAACAAGAGGAGTAGTGGTATTGCAGACAAAAGATGAACTTGTCCCTAGTAACGAAGGTGAAACAATGAGAACAACAAAAACTGAAAAGTCTGTTCGCAAGCGAGACCATGGAGGAGAAGGGGGTGGTGAGGAGGAATGCAGTCGTTTGCTGCCAAGCGCAAAAATAAATGAGAGGGGGTTGGATTGGGCAAAATTTTAAAATAAAGGAACGTGAGTGTCAGTGAGACTGTGATGCTCTTTGCACTGGAGGATTTGCAGTCATGGAATTGGCTATAGTGAAAATTGCACCAGTGGAAACCGCAGCAGTAGGAACTACAGCGGTGGAAACTGTACCAATGGAAATGGGAGCAGTGGAAACTGCAACAGTGAATACTACAGTTGTGAAAACCACAACAGTGGACACTGCAGCAGTGGAAACTGCAGGAGTAGAGACTGCAACAGTGGAAATTGCGGAAGCAACAGATGAGCAAGCATGGGTACGGCGAGAGCGTCGTGGGGGCGAATAAGAAATTGGATGATACAAGGACCATCACAACATGCATTGGAACCACTGAGAAATAGGCGTCACATGCGTAGGATAACGACGTTGGACGGAACGCACGTAGCACGTCCACCCCTTAGCAAGGGTTGGTGAAGAATATCCACGTGAAAGCATGCAATAAGTAAGTGTTGTTCCCGCAGTTCGAAAGTTCTACCAATTGTGGTCAGTTGCCCAATGAACATACCAGCGGGTTGATGGGAAAGGATATTGGAGGTCGCACTTAGATAATGAATGACAAGTCCCAAGCAACCGCTTTATCAAAGACACTCATGCGAAGCGAGCCATCGAAACGGACCCGTAGATACATACCTAAAAAGGTACACGAGTCATCTGTCGTTGTAGTCAACTTCCACTCAAGCCCATAGTGCTCTAGTGGAGGAGAAAATTGTCCCAATGAAAGAACATCATCAACGAGCCGATAGGTGAGGGCATATTGCTGAGCGACTTGAAGATCATGTTGGCAAATGTCATCAACAAAGCGTGCTTCGTCCAAATACAACGTCAAATTATAAATTTATTGACCACCATTCATTCCCATTGGAATACTGATAATTTGTTTTTGAAGCATGTCATCTCTAGTGCACAAAAAAAATATTTTTTACAGCCAAGCTAAGATGTTGGAGAATCTGAGAAACGGAAAGGGTATCTGGGCCTGAATCAATCGTCCATTGGCCACAACGAGGTCCTCGAATAACCGTGTTGAGGGCAACGCAATGTAAATGCGTGCGAGCATGCCGAAGGGCATCAGCTTGAGCTTCATCAGCAACTTCTACCACATTATTCAAAATGAGGTCATGAGGAAGATTGATGTACATTGTGGTAAAATCAACAATGCAAGGAGAGAGGCCACAAAAAGACGATGCATTGTTTTTTTGGGTCAATCGCCACTTTATCGGCACTCTGAATGATCCAGCATGTCGAACATCAACCTGTTGATAGAGCTCAGTATCTTTATCGAGAAGAGTAGAGATCACTCCTTGCAAAGCAGCGCTGAGATACGACAAAGTAGTCGTTGTGTTAGCCGAGGGTTTGTGAGGAGTCTGTGCATGAATGGTGCCAATTGTTGGACGAGGGCGAGCGTGCGGAAGAACAACACTGTTATTTTGTGCTGTGACTCCAAGAATGATGCGAAAAGTTGGAGGAGACTTGTGAGCTTTGGGTACATAGTAAAGGTAAAGTAGGATATCAGTGTGGGTGTAACCCCAATGGTGATTCCACACTGCATGGTGGTCAAGGACATCAACAACTCCACACTGCACGGTGGTCAAGGACATCAGCAACAGACTCTTGAGGACGGGTATAAGTGGGACTGTCCAAATAGGTAGAGAGATGAAACAAATACCAATTATTGCAGCAAATTTCAAAATTGTGCGATGTTTTGTCCATAGGGACAATGGCTAAGTGTTTTGGATGGCGCAAGGAGGCATGTGTAGAAAGAAGTGAACGTGGGTGGCTCGCATGATTAGAGAACGAAGATGCATTGGATTGCCAATGCACAGGGATTGCAGAACACCAGTTGTTCAGCTTCTGAGAAAGAAAAGAGAAAAAAAACAGATTGAGAATGCCCAACCAACAATATTTTGTAATTGGCAATGTACTCATCAGCAGTTTCCCCATTCAACCGATACTTCGAGCCTTCTTGAAAAAGCTTGCGAAGGCTATCATCGTAGATGATATTGTAGTCAACAAACACAATATGGCCATCCACAAGATCAGAACAACGTGGAAAGGCTCCGCTGCAGTCAGTCTTGCCGGAGTGAGGTAACAGTGGATTGATGGGGGTTCTCCTGAGTCGTTTCTGAATTTTGCCTAATCATGAAGTTGTCATAGATAGGTCTGAAGTAGCTCCAAAATTCTTTGAGCCAAAGCCGGGTATTGGCCTCAGTATATCAATTTTCAAAATTCTACTTCTCTTGGGTAGGCTCCTAGTCTCATTTTCATGGAATTCTCTGACGACTATTCTGACCGTGCTCATTATGGGACGCTGGGCCCGGTTCCCAGTTCGTGCCAAATTGTGAGGATATAGTTGTATCTATGGGACGCTGGACCCGGTTTCCAGCAGGTGATGCGCCCCACCAATAGATGGAGCTTCTTATAAAAAAAATAATAAAAAAAAAGAAATAAAAAAGAAAAAAGAAATAAAAAAGAAAAAAGAAAAAGAACAACATGGAAAGGCTCTGCGACATCGCAACTAGAGGAGTCGGGTAAGGTCATGCCAAGAGTGATACTCAAGGCCACATCAGTAGACTTACAAAACTGGACACGCATGGGTGACATCAGTTTGTCACACACACAAACATGTGTGGCTGCTTGAGGGTCCAGGTGCAATGCAACTACATCCGGTAATTGTAACACATGGCGCAAGTTCGTAGCACGAACCACCTCATGCGCATGTACGACCTTGATGTGGTCAGTAAACGGGTCACGAGGTCAGAGCTGCCCGGTAAAACCATGGAGAAGAGGACAACAAACGAGGGGCTGTGACAAACTGTTTCGTTGGAGTTTCATCGACTATATATATATATATTGTTTGATGATGTATATATCGTCAAATAGAACTGCCCGGTAAACCGTAGGCAGAGAGGGAGAAGAGGACAACAAACGAGGGGCTGTGACAAACTGTTTCGTCGGAGTTTCACCGACTATATATATATATATATATAAATATATAACAGTTTGTCACAGCCCCTCGTTTGTTGTCCTCTTCTCTCTCTCTGCCTACGGTTTACCGGGCAGTTCTGTTTGTGACGATATATATATATATATCATACAAAATAATAAAATATATATATATACTCCTTTTTTTTTTTGTNGTTCACACCCCATCACAAGCCAGCAAAACACCCACGAAACAAAGAAAGGTCTGTCACAGCCAAAAAATACACTCCAGACACGCCGCTGGCACTAGAGCATGGCCGCGTAGTGACGGCCCCGACCACTGCCGCTTGACCTGACCGGAGAAAACCGTAGCAGGAAGCTAGCAAAGTCGTAGTATATATCGTCAAATAGAACTGCCCGGTAAACATATATATAAAATATATATATATATCTATTCAACAATGGGAAGCCACAGCCACAATATTAAAGTCATTGCAGCCCTTGTCCACATCTGGGCTGCTGGAGGCCTCAACCCCCCCGCTGCCATGGGTACGTCTGCAGTCCAGGGGAAGTTGAAAGGCCTCAACCCGTCCTTTGGGACCTCCGTTAAAATTGGAACGATACACAGAAGATAGATTAGCATGACCCCTGTGCAAGGATGACATGCATAAATTGAGAAATGAAAGGCCTCAACCCCACCAACGGGCTTGGCTCAGTTGGTAGACCCACAAACTGTTGAAATACAGACTCAAGTTCAATTCCAGATACGTTCAGATGAGGAAAGTACAAGCATTCTGAATTACCTGGGGATGGTAAATTCATACTTTGACGATGATACCTAAAACCCCTCGCATCAATTGAAATGGACGGATGCTATTCACTCGACCTTATTCTTCTGAATTTCCAGGAATGCCATTCACAGGGATACTGTTGCCATGGTTGCTGGAAGTTGTCCGACCTAAATTCCACCAAATGCGATTAATTGGATCCTATCAGTGACAAAGATGTGCAAATGGTGAAAAACATGAGCTGTGCTCAAGATCGAGCTATGAACAACAGGAGGAGGAGAAGGAGAACGAGGGGAAGAAGAGAACGAGGGGAAGAAGGAGAAGAACGAGGAGAAGAAGGAGAAGAAGGCGATGGAGAGGGAGAAGGAGAACGAGGAGAAGAAGAAGAACGAGGAGAAGAAGGAGAAAAAGGTGACGGAGAAGGAGAAGGAGAAGAACAAGGAGAGGGAGGGCGAGCAAGAGGAAGAGCATATGGAGGAGGAGGAGGAGGAGGAGGAAGAAGAGGAGGAGAATATGAAGACGAAGATGGCAACGGAGAAGAAGAACACAACGAAACCGACTTGTGGGTAAGGTTAAGTGTGGTTGAGAAGATGCATAAAGAAGAAGCATATACATTTCTCAGTAATAAATGTGTTGGAGAAGGAGAAGAAGAAGGAGAAGCACAAAGTTGATGGGGGATACGCTGCTCAGCCTCTTGGCCAAGGTAGAGTGTAGTATCTGTTTCGAACAGCTTAATATCTGATTCTTGGTCCAGTGCACCACACGGTATAAATTAACCTTTTGGGGCTACAGGGGAAAAACAAAAACAAGAAAGACGAACAGCAACAACAACATCAATGGCAAGCGAAAACAACAATAGCAACAACATGAAAACCACCGATGCCAGCACAGAGGCACCAGCAGCAAAAAAAACAATAGCAAGAGGATCAAAAGCAGCAACAGCGGTAACAGCACGGACCGCAGTATAAAGAGCTGCGCACCTCCACGGGCAGTATTGGCAACGGCAGCATTAGCAACAAAGGAGGCGAAAACYGCAGSAACAGGGRCKGCAAGAAGGACRAGGRAAACAAAAACAGAGGTCGCACCAGAAGCACCCCTGCCACGAGCAACAGCAGCAGAAGAGAACAGAACCCTGGAGGAGTCACGAAGGAGTCCCTGTTTGGCTCTCACCCATGTGTAAACCTCTTCCAACAACCCATTCCATAACTTTAGGTTCGTCTTCTTCTTCTTTTCCTTCTTCTTGTGCTTTCTCTCCATCACATATTTTCCTTCATGCTCCATCGGTCTACATGCACCGCACTGCAAGGAGCCCCCCAACCGACCACCAGGCCAACAGAACACCCCCACTCTGCAGCTCCCGACAATGCTAGACGACTCAGAAAATCCAGCAACGCTTCATTCGAGCCACCCAAGCTGGCTGTTCATCATTGACAGATCAGCCAAAGCCATGCTTAGCAGGTTCTAATGTGCATAGGCATCTGGATCGGCAACAGTCTCTGATTTCTCAGCTGTGAATCTTTTGCTTCTGAACAACGAACATTTCCGGAGCCTTCTCTGCAGGCCCACTTAATGAGGGTGCTCTTATCACCTCATTGGAGTGCGAACCTGCAACGAAGTTGGTACACCCATGAGCTGTTGAAATGCAGACCCGCGTTCAAATCCAGATGAGTGGCACGTCCTCAATCACACATTCCCTCCCTTACACGTCCGTGCGAGCTGTGACTCATTCCGTGAGCGATTCGCCCTGGAGACAAGTGATGCCCGTCTGGACAGGCTAAAATAGGCCATCAACCGTGTTTCCTGTTCACGTTCCATCTGGCTTCCGGAATGCTGGAGGGAAAGAGTGATAGATGCTGCATGCCTCCAAGCATGGGAGATTGCTGTGAATATGCAAATTCAGAGAGAGAGAGAGAGAGAGAGAGAGAGAGAGAGAGAGAGAGAGAGAGAGAGAGAGAGAGAGAGAGAGAGAGAGAGAGAGAGAGAGAGA